ATGCCATATTTCTAAAATCGAAATTATCAACTTGGGCTTTTCTCTCTCTCCCCTGATCTTCCATAACTTATTTGCTTTCTTAGTTCTTACAATATGACATCTCACTGAGTAAGCTGTGTAATATTATTCACATCCCTCAAAGCTTATTTCTTATCCCCTGGTCTCAAGTCTTCACGGTTTTCACTCTGAAACAACTCAGATGTTTCCTTACTTGCAGCCTTATTGACTCCATCTTTATCATGTCTTACTTATCCCTTTTCTGGAATATTTGGGGACCAGGATTCTAACTTGTATCCCTGTTGTCAGTTTTCACTCATTTTGGTCTTCCACACAATTCCAGAACAGAGAAGCTTTAGAGGTCTCAACTTGTCAGTCTCCTGTTAATAAATCTCTAGCAGGGTCTTTTTATTTTCTAAACTTCTTAACTTGGGATCTAAAACTGTTCATTTTTTATTATCCTACTCAAAATGGCTAGCCTAGGAGCCAGCAGATGGCATAGTGGGTACATTGCTAGACTCCCATAAGGCCAACCACGGTTGGAGTATCCTACCTGGTGGCTTGAAAATCACACTGGTGGGGTCGGCAGGTTGTGTGGTGGTTAAGGGCGCTGGACTCCCACATGGCCCACCATGGTTTGAGCCCTGGACCTAGCAGCTTGCTTTCTTACTTTATTGCTTACTTTTTTTTTCTCTGTCTCTCACTCTGTCCCTCCCTGATCAAATTAAATTGAATAAATAAATAAAAATTAAAAAAAAAATTCCTTAAAAAAAAAGAAAAGAAAATCACACTGGCAGGTGTACCTGCAAGTCCAAGATCCCAAGAGGAGAATGGAAAAGGGATTGCAGTGTGGCCAACCCCCCGGGGAATGATTTCTCATTTTCTCTCTCACTGTCTCTGTCTTTCTTAGGCGAGCGCACATGGCATAAGGCAAAAGCCTCCGTAAAAATAAAAAAATAGATAGGAAAAGAAAATCATGCAAGGTGCATGCCTAAAATCCCGAGCAAAGAATGGAAAAGAAAGGATTATGGCATGACCATCCCCTCTAGGTTGGTGATTTCTCATTTTTCCTCTCCCTCTGTCTCTTGCCAATGAGCACATGCACCCTATGACAAAAATCTTAATTTTAAAAAAAGCAAAATAAAAAGTTAACCTTATCTCCTATTACTCTTCCTACTGATAACAGTGATCCCGAAGGAGGATTTTTATGGGGGTCAATATCTTTACCCGTGTAACACACTAGGGCTTCCTAATATAGGTAAGAAGAGTCATTCTGCTCTTGCTTTCTCTGTTGACATTGGCAATGATTGTGCTTTATTTGAACATCAAATTCTTCAAAAGTTGACAATATTGTTAAGCTTGCTGAGCTTTTATCTATTGTTGTTGTTTTACTATATGGCCTGCCCTCTCTTTTAAAACAGATTTATTGTCCGTGAGAGGGTGTATGCTAGAGTTATGCTATCCCACGGCTAACGTAGTTTAATAAAGCCTATCCATTTTCTGTTATCCCTATGAGTTGGAATTCTGTACTATACATGGTAGATCTGATAAAGTAGTCAAAATACACTTACTGATGTCTTTTGAACACTAATAAATTATTGCACTAATACCTATTAGGATCATAAAGTGAATTGTTTCAAAGGTTAAATAGAATACAGGTGTAAAATTCCTCCCTGAAATTGGCATCATGGTTATGTAAATGAATTTTGAATAACCACAACCAAATATTAAATATTTCTTTTGTGATTTTGTACCAACATATACTTCAATATCAAATATATTGACCTCAAATATTGGTGTGAACCAATCACACCTAAAGATTTACTATTTAGTCAACATTTCAGAACCAATTGTAGTTAGGTATTTACCAAACTAAGAACTTACTAGCTGGGTGAAATAATACTCAGTAGCATTGATATTTATTGTAGAGTTTAAAATAATTTTAATTACATGCATATTTGAAGATGTCATTTTGGTTTATATGTGCATGACTTCCCAAAGAAAATCCTAAATAATTATATAATTGGGGAGATGTTTTCTCATTTTTTTTAAATAAAAGAATTAACACACACCCCCACACACACCCACAAAAGAAAAAAGAACTATAATGAAAACAGAACAAAGATTCCTTACCTTGAGGATCTGTAGAAATTCTTTTAGTACTCTGTGGACGGTGGATTCTTTTTTCATGCTGTTGGAGGGAAGGGCACAGAATAAGCAGAAAAAAATGAAGGAAAAAGAATTGTAGCAGTGACCAGACCTCATGGGGGGGCTGTTCTCTCTCTCTCTCATTCATGCACATCTGATAGTAAAATCTGATAGTCCTTTTAGGACCTAATCATGCATCCAAGGATGCTAGGAGACATATTTCATTAACAACTATAGTGCTCTTAACACCTGCTGGCCTCTGACAACTAACACTTTAATAAATAACATATATTCATATGTTTTATATATAGTATTTGCAACATATTTAATATTTCATATATTATATTTGGTTTCTGATATAATGATATCCTAATCATATATATTTAACATGAAATATTTAATATATATTTACATGCTAAGTATATACAAATATGTGGGGATTTTTACTATTTTTAGGTAAATTCACCTTGCCCTCCTGCAAGATAGAATTTTGTCAAGTTATATCTCATGCACTTGGTTATTTCTGAGGTTTGGGTTAATTTCTTACTCCAGGAATCCCTTCAGCTTCCATGATAACCCTCTGGACTGCTAATTTCTCTGAACACTTATCAGATATATCTGAATCTCTCTGAATTAAGCCTGCTTTGAAGTTATTTAAAATTTGTTCTCTTCTTGGTTATCACATCGCTTTCTCACACACACACTCTGCTTATCTGCTTTTGTGTACGCACACACACACACACACACACACACACACACGCACACACACAAGTACACATGACTGTGCAGAAGATGGGGGAGCTCTTACTGTCTTCCTCTAGAATGGGAATGGATGACTTCAAGGATCAAGAGTGGTTAGATCCCCAGGCTGAGACCCAGGAGTGAGGGAGTAGAGGGTGGGGCCCAGGTGTAATTAACTCCATAGCAGACCCGTTCCCTAAGCCCGCACTGCTGGAGCATGAAGGCTATCAGGTAAGACTGAGTTTAAACCATGCTCATTAGTTGCTGCCTCCTGAGTGACTCCATGCCTTAGTTTCCTGAACTTTAGAATCGGTTTTATTATACCATCTACTTCCTAGGTTTGCTGTGAGCTGTACATGAAATCAAATATGTAATGCACTTTAATTAAATAAAATGAAAAAGCTTTATTTCAGTTCTTGGCAAACAGTGGATACTCAATAAAAGTTATCTAACTGTTTTCATCTCACAAGTCTGACAGAACTAGAATGTCATTTTGCATATAGAGAGGCTTAATATAACCTTCAAATTCTAATACATAGATGATTTTCCAGAGATCCATCCATAACTAAAGTATCCTATAAGGACAGCCAATGTACAGCGAGACGTGATCTGAGTGTTACCAAGACGTATAGCATTGGAGGTGCACCCTTCCTCCCCATGGGGTCTTACAGCAGACCTGGACTCAGTCACTGTTGACCATCTAGTCTCTGCTCAGGTCATGGCCTGGAAAGATGCCCAAGGACTTAGTCTTAGCTAGGACTCACTCACCCTCATTATCACATGCTTTCAGGAGCTTTAGGAACTATGCTGACATTAACTAAGCTAACGTCACTGTACAAACGCATGGAGGAAAACAAGAGTGAAAAACAATACTGTGGAAACAACAGTCACTATGGTTTGGTTTCAGGGCTGATTTGTTTGGAGATATGTCATCATTGTGCCCTCTCAGCCTTAAAGAATGAGCATAGTTCATACTGGGAATGCAACCCAGGTAACGGGAGAACCTCCGGGACTCAACACTACACTGTAAAACCTAGTGTGAAAGTTAGAGAAGGTGAAAGTCTGGACAATTATAACTCCTTCCTACTATTTCACACGATTTTGAAGTGCTAAGTTAAAACAGTGAAAAATATGGCATCTTTGAGCCTTAGAGCAACATCTTATTTTAAATTGTCCCTTGGGTGGTCACTAATTTCAAGGGCATCCACAGGACTACCGTTGCTATTTGGCGGATGTATGAATAATAAGTGGGAGAGGGACTAGAAGTTAGCGTAATGGCTATGTCACTGGACTCCCATGTAGTCGACTGCGGTTCAAGTCCCGGACTTGGTGGCTTAAACTCAACGCTGGGCGCATGTGTGTGCATGTTCAAGATCCCAACAGGACAATGGAAGAGGGGATTGTGGCGTGGCCATCCCCCCGGGGGGTGATTTCTCACTTTCTGTCTCTCTGTCTCTCTCTGTCTGGTGAGTGCACGTGCCCTATAGCAAAAAAAAAAAAAAAAAAAAAAATACTCTCCAAAGAAAGAAAATCAATAAAGAAATAAGTGGGAGTGTCAGTTCTCTAATTTCTACTGCCTACCAGTTCTTTGTGGCTCTAGTGCAGAACTAATTTTTGTATAAAGTAACATGCTCAGGACTTTCTGATACTTGGAGTAGCATTTCTCATGGATGACACTTAACATTATAGCTAGGCATCAGTATTCTACAACCAACCAAAGAGAATGGCATGCTGTTAGTTTTTTTTTTATCATCTACCCTTGGGCACTTATGCATGAAGAGATTTTCACAGGTAATTATGATAATATCTTCCGGCAACAACTCCTCCATCCAGCTCTAACTCTGCAAACTGCCACCCCCTTCCACATTTACTGTAGATTTTTCCTGGTAAGTGGGTCATTTATTGTGTAATGAGAAAGCATTCAGGTGAAAGCGATATTATTAATCATGGGCCAACAAAGTATATATAATTAATATTTTCAGTGTAATTTTAGCATGGATTCTTACCCAAAGCATTTAAGAGGTCACAACAAAGTTCTAGCTTTCATGGTTACTCTACTCTGTAGATATTTTGCATGGAGGTCTTTCTAAGTAGCAGTTGCTACTGGTTGGAGTTCATCTTATTCATAATAGCAAACTGTATTCTCCATTTTATGATGCATGGTGTACATAGAATTCTCAATAGTTTTACATTTTAAACAAACCTTATGTAATATTGATCCCAAAAGCAATTTGGTGCAAAAATGAAGGCTAACATAAAAGCTGGGAGCTGTGGGTCAGTGCATGGCCGGTGATGAAGGCAGTTAGAGCCCATAAGGTTGACCATGCAGTAGTTCAAGTCCAGGATCTGGTGGCTTGAAAAACAATGCCAAGCAATATGTATGCATGCCCCAAATCTCAACAGGATGGAGAAATGAAGGAAAAGTACTTGTGGTGTTACCATGCCCGATGAGGGGGGGGCCCTTTCTCTTTTTTCCTCTCTCTCTCTCTCTCTCTCTCTCTCTATGTGTGTGTGTGTGTGTGTGTGACTCCAGTAAGCACCCACACCCTCTGGCAAATTAAAAATAAAACAAACAAGAGCTATGTGCTGTAGTCATAGGCTCAACATAACCAGAAATCGAGTGAGAGTTTCTGTCAGTGTAGCGTGAGGACATTGTGTGACAGGATTATTTTAGAAGGATCGTCGTCTCCATTTTGCAAATGTAACTTCTCCAAGGTAACTTGCCTATAGGATATGGCGAGAACTAGTCTTGAAACCCAGGTCTATCTAAAGTCCTTACTTTTCAATAATACTGCCTCTAGATAATAATATTAACTGCTAGTTTTTATTGATTACCGTGTATCAGGAATTACTCTAAAGCCTTAACGTATATAACCGTGGTAGTATAGTGTGGTCTAATGTGTGTGTGTGTGTGTGTGTGCGTGTGTGTACGTGTGCGTGTGTGGTTATATATATATATATATATATCCTTGGGAGAGAGTTTTTACTATGCCTATTTTAAAACTGAGAGAACAGACTTAGAGAAAATAATTTGACCAAAAACATGCATACTCAGTGACAGTTATAACATTTAAACTACCATCTGTAGGCATCCAACTTTTCATCTGTAAGTTCACACTTAGATGTAAAACGAAGCTCACAACATAGAACTCTCCACACGGCTGTTCTAGTGTCCGCTGCACTGTCTCCCCAATCACATAACGACTCTATACCTCTGGCCTTGGGAGCAGTAGTGCCAGTAGTTATCAGCTTGGACTCTGTAATTATAATTATGGAGAGGTTTTTATTTATTTATTTATGTATTTATGTTTGCTATAGGGCATGTACACTTGCCAAACAGACAGAGAGAGACAGAGAGACAGAAAGCGAGAAATCACCCCCCAGGGGGGATGGCCACACTGCAATCCTTCCTCCTCCATTCTCCTCTCAGGATCTTGGGCACGCATGCACACATGCCAGGCGTGAGTTTTAAGCCACTGGGTCCAGGATGTGAACCGCGGTCGACTACATGGGAGTCCAGCGACATAGCCATTACGCTAACTACTGGTCCCCTGTAATTACAATTATGTAGAGAGATAATTACAAGCTTCTGGGTCAACCTTCAACCATATAGTCATCTCTCTGGGACCCATCTGCCTTAAGAATCATGCCACCAGTTGGCTTGCCAGGTTTTTTCATTCAGACCTGTTGACACCAGTTTTGCTTTTTACAGTTTATATATTTTTAACAAATGAGGTTCAAACAAGTTCCACACATTGCATTTGGCATTGATGTCTCTGCCACCATTTGTTGAGTTTTCAGTGCAGAGAACTTCCTGAAGGCCAAAGCAGAAATGCTTGGAAGACACAATGAAAGGAAGTACATATACACAGAGAGGCCTGTAGACCAGTATGAACCCACAGAGAAGCAAGAGTAGTGTGGAACAAAAGAAGATCATAGTTTAGAACAAGAAGAGCTAATCTAGAATGGTCGTGCTTAGTGATAAACCCAAACATCAGGTTCAGAAATGAAATAGTCCTGTTACCAGCCCTAGAAGCAATACATAGTCATATCTTAATTAAGCTCAGATATTTCTTTGTTTTAAATCCATACATGCTCTTATGCGACTGACTTTATGCTTCATTTTTTCCATTGTTTGCTTCTTGCAAAGTCCCTCTTGTTAAGATTTTAATCTGACTATAACTTTGTTAAGAGGGAGAAAGGAAATACTTCTTAGTCTCGAAGAACTCAGTCACAGAAGGTGACAGCATTAGGCCACTAGGAACCAGGCGGATCAATTCAAGAAACTCCAGAATATCTAAG